ACTGAAGTATAAATAAAGACCAGGGCAAAGCTCAGCGCGAGTCTCTGAGACTGCCCTTGCTAGCAAGAACTCTGTGTGTTTCTCTTCTCTGAGTCTTTACTGAAGAAGTGTTTTAGAATATTTTCCCTAACACTCCAACACCCAGCTCCAGAGAAGTGGAAGAAAATGGATGGATGGATGGTTTTTGCTACCAAAACTATTACAGTAACTCAAATATTCAGGCTCTATAGCAATGGCAAATTTCTGGTGACAAGATCTCAGACAAATCAGGCTGGTGGGGTCAGAGTGTGGCCCTATTGTAAAGGGTCTAACAGAAAAAAACAACAACAACAGAATAAGAGTGTGAGGCTTCTTTTTAACCACAGTGGTGTGTAACATGTTTTGTTTCAATTTTAATTTTCTTCTTATCTGCTTCCTCATCAAGAGCCTTGCTGCTGTACTACTTTAGCACTTTAATATGTTGGTCTACCTTTTTATGCTCTACACAGCATTAGAGATATCATAAATCAACACCATTTTTATGATCTGTGTTGGATTTTATGTTTTCATATTTAGTTGTATTTATATAATGTTTACATGTTTTCAGCAAGAAATACTTTCTTTTGAACAGAATACTGGGGTTTCTGCATTTATTTATGTAAATAAATGTAACTTTTGATTGAGTCTGTTTTGATTAGATGGCTTTGAAAAAAAAAACATACATTCAACATTATTTTATTTCATTTCAATGTAGAAAAAAGTGATTGCTCAAGCTTTTTGCTTTTTTTTTCTTCACAGTGTGGCTTTCGTTAGGGTGGTACTCTAGCTCAAAGACGAGACAAACTATCAGATATCTCACGAACATCACACGTTTTTCACCACAGTTCAGTTCAACAGAAGACCTGAGATTGAGGTAAGTTCAGAGGAATGTAACATGCGTATAGACAGCTATTTGTGAGGTTTAATTTTGATGAAGTTTCATTTTTCATGTGACAGTTTGTTGCACAAGTTAACTTTGAATTTTTTGTTTCATAATGTGGTTTTTGTTAAGGCAGAATCTCTGAATTAATGTGAAACAAAAGGAGGAAGTATTAGTTTTCTGAAGAACATTGTACAGCTTTTGTGCTGAATTACAGGGCAATTCAGCAGAAGACTTGATAGTTGATGTTTGAGGTAAGTTGCTGTGTTTGTTTTCTGAAATTTGATACTTTTTTAGTCACTTTGGTTTTATATAATATACAAAAACTAGAACCAAAATCAACAGTTTCTGTCACTTTAGAGAAAACTGCTCAGTCATTGTGTTTGATTGCATTTTATTTTATATGTATGTTTTCCAGAAGATTGAAAATGGCAAACTTCACATTCACATCCAGAACGAGTGGTCTTGTTGAATACATGTGTGATACTAATGTTCCCACCATCACTGGTCCCCTTTTCATCTTGATCTTCATCCTCAGTATCATATGCAACAGCCTCCTCTTATGTGTTGTTTTCATCTACGAGAATCTGAAAAGTATCACAAATATTTTCATCCTGAACCTGGCCTGCTCTGATTTGATCTTCACCATCACACTTCCATTCTGGGCCGCTGATCACCTACACAACTGGGTCTTTGGGGACTTTGTCTGCAAAGTTATCACTGTTGGATTCGCTGTTGGTTTGTACAGCAGTGTCATTCTGCTGACTGCTATGACAGTGGATCGTTTTACTACTGTTGTACTGCACAACTGGCCGATCAGCCATGCCAGAGTGAAGAAGTGTGCAATCGGTGCCTGTATAGCTGCCTGGGTCATCAGCATCTTAGCGTCCCTGAGTGATGCAATGAAAGTAAAGGTTGAAAGCTGGGAAGGTAAAAACTATTGCGAGCCTGAATCTGAAGACAAGCTTGGACATTATCTACAAGTGTCACTGCTATTCTTCCTCCCATTTGCCATCATTATTTTCTGCTACTCTGCCATCCTCAAGACAGTTTTGCAAGGTTTAAACAGAAGGAAGTTCAGGACTGTGGCTGTGCTGTTGTGTATTGTTGCAGCCTTTTTCATTTGCTGGGGGCCATACCATATTATGCTTTTAATCAAGTCTCTCAATACAAACAATGATTGTAAGGTACTGAAACGGTTAGCAGTTGCCTACCATATCTGTGAAATGCTTGCCTATTCTCACTGCTGTATGAACCCTCTGCTATATATGCTCTCGCAGAAGTTGCGAAAGCATCTGTTGAGTCTTTTGCGCTGTGAAAAAGTGAACAGGAAGAAGAGAGAGAGAAGCACCAGC